GATTTGGCGTATGAGACCTATGGCACACTGAACGCGGCTAAAAGCAATGCGGTCTTGATTTGTCACGCGCTTAATGCCTCACACCATGTGGCAGGGGTGTATGCGGACGCGCCAGATAATAAGGGTTGGTGGGACAATATGGTGGGGCCGGGCAAGGCGGTGGATACGAACCGTTTTTTCGTAATAGGCGTAAACAACCTGGGTTCGTGTTTTGGCTCGACTGGCCCTATGCAAACCAACCCTGCCACTGGCAAGGCCTACGGGGCGGATTTTCCGGTAGTAACGGTGGAAGATTGGGTCACCGCCCAAGCTCGGCTACTGGACGCGTTGGGCATAGACAGCTTGGCTGCCGTCATGGGCGGTAGTTTGGGTGGGATGCAAGCCCTCTCTTGGACGTTGCAATACCCAGAGCGCGTGCGCCACGCTGTGGTAATAGCCAGTGCGCCCAACTTGACCGCAGAAAACATTGCCTTTAACGAGGTAGCGCGACGCGCCATTGTGACCGACCCGGACTTTCACGACGGGCATTTTTATGACTATGGCGTACTGCCCAGACGGGGTTTGCGTATCGCACGGATGATAGGACATATTACCTATTTGAGTGACGATGTGATGAATGAAAAATTTGGCAGGAAATTACAAAAAGAGTTACAACAAAGCCTGGCAGCAGATGCAGGCCTGAAATACTCCACCCAAGAAGTAGAATTTCAAATCGAGAGTTATCTACGCTACCAGGGCGACAAGTTCAGCGATTATTTTGATGCCAACACCTACTTACTCATTACCCGTGCGCTGGATTATTTTGACCCCGCCAAGGCTTATGGCGGCGATTTAACGGCGGCATTGGCAAAAGCCCAAGCCAGGTTTATGTTGGTGAGCTTTACGACCGATTGGCGGTTTACCCCTCAACGCAGCCGCGAAATCGTTAAAGCCCTGGTAAAAAATCGCCACGCGGTAAGCTATGCCGAGATAGACGCACCGCATGGGCACGATGCCTTTTTGCTGGACGATGTGCGTTACCACAACGCGATACGCGCTTATTTTGCGGGGATAAGCATATGACAGCGGCACAAACCCAGGCACAGACAACAAGGCAGATGCAAAAACAAGCCTTGCACGATGTGATTGTGGACTTGGTGCCGCAAGGCGCAAGCGTGTTAGATTTGGGCTGTGGCAACGGACAACTGCTGCAACGGCTGTTGCAAGAGCGTCTATGTAGTGGCTACGGCATAGAGCTAAACGATGCCAATGTACTGGCGTGTATAGAACGCGGTATCAATGTGGTGCAGCTCAATCTGGAAGACGGCCTGGCCCTGATAGAAGACCATGCTTTTGATGTGGTACTACAAATCAACACCTTACAGCATCTAAAAAATACCGAAACCATGCTGCGCGAAACGGCCCGC